CTCGGCCCCCCCTTGTTTAAAAAAGTTTGTTTTGTTTCTCCAAAAAAAACAAAAAAAAAGGGTTCCCCCCCCCCCCCCCCCCCCCTGCTTCTGCAAAGTTCATCTTTTTGGTCGTCGAAACAGAAAAACTAGGATTACGCCCCCCCTGCTCTGACACCTGACTTACGCCCCTGAGTATTGTTATTCAAACAATATAAGATGATATTAGTATAGGAGTCCCTTCAATGAACTATTTCTAATAATGAAAAGTTGAACTCTCACTCTGGTATATGCTTGGTTCTATTATTTCTTTCTTTATATTGCTGATAGTCAACGATCTATTGCAGATTCTAATCTGTTCATATTATTGTAAAAGTTAATAATAGTTTTTTTTTCTGTCAATTTTCAAAAAAAATCCTTTTGAAAGTTAATCGAGTTGTCAAGTTTGATAGTTGCACAAATATTGACAAACTTTTCACTTACGAAATATTGCTAGTGAGATTAAAGTCTATAATAACACGTTTGACTTTAACGAATCACATCAATAATAACAAAAACCTGTTCACAGAACTTTCGTTCAATATTCATCAATGACAACTTCGTAGGTTCATCTCCTTTCTCCTCGTATCTTTCCGAGTTAAGTGAACAATACTTGAAAATTGTTTAATTTATTCGTAATAATATTGAGAACTAAATTTCATTATTAGATATTATGTAAACAACTAATATCTAACAGATTATGAGACATCAGTCATAAATTATAGAAATTTGCTAGAAAAACGAGAAAAATCTGTTCCATCCTTCATTTCGAATAGAATACTGAGATTTGTTTTAAATCTATTTTAAATCAATTTCTACCTATTGACAAGTAACTTACATTTAGCGTTCGATATCAACGAAAAAAAAGTACAACTAGTCATTATATAGATGATATCTTGTGTACGAAGAAGAGAATAAATTATATTCGAGCTTGTTAATTCTAAAAAAGACTATGTAATTTTATTTAAATCATTGAATAATCGATATCGTTTAAATAGTAACATTTTTGAAAAGGTAAGATTTCAATAATCTAATAGACAACATAATTTCGATATTTTTAATACGTATTTCTCTTTGAATTAGAGTTATTTGTATTCCTCAGTGTACTTTGAAAATATGATAAAATCGAGGGAATAATTTAATATATCTTTTTGTGAACATTTTCATAATATATTTTTTATATTTCATTTTATAATTATCTAGTCAAACAGTTGATTAAAAAAAACGTTCAAGATAATTAAAGTCTTGACTAAGATTATATAATTAAGATACGTTATGAAAATGGTCAAAAAAACGAAATGATATTTTATATTGTGCACTTAATTTCATCTAATCATGTTTTTAAATTCAATAGAGTTTTCAGCGATAGATCAGTACGGTTTACACTAAGGAAAAACGATCAGCTGAAAAAGCTAAGTGTCATTCTATACAACACTATTTAGTTTGTTTTAAGTCTGAGGAACATTCAAATATTTTTAGTTTAGTTTTGTGAGAGTATATTCGAAAATAGTGTAAGAGTGTTTATATAAAATATTTGAGATAATCCCCAAAGATATCCAGAGAACATACTAAAGTATGCGTTTGTTCAGAGTCAATCTTTATTTAATAGATTCGCTTCCTAATTCTTGATAAAAGAATTTTCCACAAACCAAATAGTTCTATGTATTTAAACCTGGGTTATTTGATGACTTAGGGTTCATGATGATGAATGTGAGATTTCGTTCATCAATATGTTAAACTATTGGATTAATCATATCATTAGACAAGTTCGTGAAACTTTCCATTTATCAATGACATAATATAGAGATTTTGGAACTCATTCCTACTTTCTCTTAGTTAGGAAATAAATCTGAACAAACAAATATTAAAATATGGAAATGTTTATTTTATCTGAGACATCCAACAGATGTATCAATAACATATTAAAATGAACTCAAAGAAAGTTCATTATTCTAAGATACATATGTATTAGTTTTATGAAGTCACGTCGCTGACGAATGATTTTGTTCAAAAATATATTTATATTATCTATACTATTTTTCTATAGCAGCTATTAAAAATGGTCTTGCATCGCCACTTAAACGCTTCGATGAATGGCGTGCTTATCAATTTCATTAGATTTCGTTAACAAAGGCTAAAGTACCTTTTTCTGATGAAATAATTACTTATGTTCTATGATTTATATCTGATATGAATTTTGTTCAACATGAATTCTATAATGGAATTCAACATTTAGTTTTTCAAGATAAAAATTATGAACGTCGATTAGATGAATGACAATCATCTGTAATGCATGGACAAATATTAAATTTTATTCAAGCTATACGCATGTGATGGAAAATCACTATTTGAATTAGGGTGTGGGCATCGCATCTCCTTGCTCTCATATCACCCACATCAATACTCACGGCCACACCCTTTAATTTTGACTAGAGCTTGCTCGAGCAGGATGAAAATTTCAGATGCGAATAGAGATAAATTAACATACTCAAAAAAATTAAGACTGAGTAGAATTTTTTTTTATTCAACAATATTTCTTCATGTAACTAAACAATTTTCGAGACAAAACATTTTAATCTATCCATCCATGTTTGTATAACCACCTAGTTTTGATTGACATTGTCAATACAGTAAATTAAAAAATAAATATCCAGTTGAACATCTTATTGATTTAAAAATAACCTGTTGAAAAGAATTAAAACAAATTGTTATGAATGATTTGAAAGATACTTAATTTATTGAAACATGCAAACTTTATGTATGCGCATCAATGACTGGTAGAACTTACGATTGTAAAGGCAAGTAAGCTAGAAAACAAGGTTCATATAAAAAAAAACTGTCATCTTTTCGTTTGATAAAATGTCATTCAAAACTAGGTGTTTGTAAAAATATAGGTGAATAGATTAACATGTTTTATTTTGTAAATTGCTCAGTTAAACGAAGAAATGTTGTTGAACAAAAACAAATATTCTACTCAGTTTTAATTATTTTGATTATGTGAATTTATCTCCAGTCGCATTTCTGCTTTTGACTAGGCAAATTTAAAATTTACCTAGTCAAAATTTTGTCTACAACACGTATACTAATTTTTCGACGTTAAATTTTATTTAGATTATTATTTCCACTTCTCTTGGAAGAGAAATTTGACTTTTGAGAAATAAGATTTTGGTACTTCTTGTTATCGTGCACATAAACCTGGATTATGAGTGTAAAGATTTTTGTCATTTAAGTACACTTCCTGTACACTATTGTCTTCTGTCAATTCGCGTGTTCATAAACTGACCTTGTGACCTTCCTTTCGTTGTTCTATTATGAGGTCACAACTTCTTTGTTTCTGTTGACTGATGCATGATTACTCTCTGCTATATAAAACAGTGTTAACGAAGCAAATACACGATTCAAAATATATACATGATACTATAAACCATCACGTCGACGGGCATAAACGACCTTTACTAATCTTTTTGCATGTATTATTGTACGATATCTCAATAAGTTATATAAATACATGAATGAAACGAAAGAATTTGTTTTTCTTTTCTAGATAATATTAAACTTATCGATAATCGTTTCATCGAAGCACATTTCAAAAAGTAAAATTTTCCTAGGAAATCAAGTTGAAATTGCTCTTTTAAACTTCGGCAATGCAGTTTGATTTAAGTGTAGAAATGCTGAATATTACTTTTTAATAGCATCTGTTTTTTTTTTAATAAAACCTCTGATTGACTGGACCTAGTCACTGCTGAATCAATGCAATACTGTCTGCTACCATGCTGGTAAAATATGCTATTTTTATCATCGAACAGAGTTTATCAATTTAAAGTTGAAACACGGTCGTAGGCGGATCATTTTGAAGGATCTATAGGTCTTCTATTCGTACACACCTCCTCTATGATATCCTTCTCATTCAATTACGTTCTGATAATCTACTATTAATGTCTTTTAATTTAGGCTTCGAGATTTTCCATGATCCACAACGAAATATAACAGAACATAATTCTTCACATTGCTCAATAAATTCAGCTTCAACAACAGTGATGATTGAATCTCATTCACAATTGCTGACTAACAATGATATGGAACTAACCATGGAACAAATTAATGCAGCAAGTAACCAATTATCTAAACATCCTGTACAATTTACACATGAAGATTTACGTACATATCTTGAACCAATTATTCATACCCTGATATCTGCGGAAGAATCATATGCATTTCGTCAACCAGTTGATCCTATTGCACTTAATATACCTGATTATCCAATGATAATTAAACATCCTATGGATATATCAACCATGCATAATAAATTATTACGTGGAGAATATAAAAATCCATTAGAATTTTGTGATGAGGGAT